TTAATCAGGTTTTGGTTCAAATGCAACCTCCTCAAAAAGGCCTTCCTTCTATGACTTCCTCCGTCATCCTCCATCCCTATAGCTTAGGGTAATGTGCAAACTGGAGCTAGTTGCTTAAGCTCGAATCTCAGCCTTACCAAGACTTAAACAGATTACATAACCCCTCCATGGCTTTGTTTCCTTAGCCCCAACCAGGGATGACAGTACCTGTCTCATGAGGTGGTTGTGAGGGTTAAGTCCATCAATGCATGAAAGTGCTTTGGAACACAGCCCAGCACACAGTAAGCTCTAGGTAAGGATCAACTCTTCTTAGTGTGTACCCCTGCTTTACAATTCAGCACAACCACCACAGTTGGTTTTCTTGCCTATTTATAGACCATCTGTCCTACTCCCCATTTTGTAGATGAGGACACTGAGGCTCAAAGACATGAAGTGCTGGCCCAACCAAGCTCTCTGAAGATGGGGGCTGGGCCTGCCTTATTTTCCACTGGATCCACAGACCCTAGAACTGTGCCTGGCACACAGCAGGTGCTCAGTAATCACTGTGGCTGAATGAATGAATGATGAACTAATGACCGTGACTATTACTCTGAGGTGCCGTGCAGGCAGGAGGCTGTGCACTTAAGATTCTGTTTCAGCCCACCTGTGCCCACCCTAGTCCCAAATGACCCCCAGCTCAATCAAGGTCCCAGACTCTCTTAGAACTGGTTGCTGGAACAGGCAGGCTAATGAGGTGGGAACCAGCATCCATGCCTCTAACCCCAGTGGAACCCCCTTACTCCAGCTGGGCCAAGGGGATGAGGCAGGAGCTGCCTTGGCATTCGCCTTGGGGGATCCCTGCCAGAGGTATGGTGGCAGGTGTGGCTCCGGAAGCAGCTGCTAGCTCCCTCATCCTGTGCTCTCCAGCTACCCGCCAGGGGCCGGCCCACCAGATACATAATAGATGAGGAGGCCCAGCGGGCTGTGCCTGCCTGGCATTTCCGAGCCACTAATGAGGCCAGCCTCGTGCTTCCTACAGTGGCCAACACACTCCAGGGCCTCCGGCTCGGTGACTAGAGAGAAGCCCCCCGAGGACAGGGGCTGCCCAGCCAAGCCCCCTTACTCAGCATAGGCAACATCCAGGAGAGCAAGGGTTAAAGGTGGGCTCAGGCTGACTGCCCCGCCAGTCTTGGGTCACCATTCATGGACTGTGTGTCCTGGGCAAGGCAGGCCCCTTCCCTGAGCCTCAGTTTCCTCATTTGTAAAATGGAGACAATAAATAGTAATACTATCTACTTTTTAAAGCTGTTTAAGGATGGGATGAAATAATTCAGATGAAGTGCTCAGCCCAAGGCCTGAGACCCAGGAAATGCTTCATGTATGGGAGTAATGGATCCCATTACTGTGAAGGGACACATCTCAGTGACCAGATGGGCCTCCCAGTGGGGCTGGGTAGTGACTACTGCTGGGAGGTATTCAGGGCCATCTCACCCCCCCCCCACCCCCCGCTTAACCAGGAATTTCCTCATGTCTGTGGCTTCCTCATCTCCGGCCAAGGTCACTTCCTTGGCAAGAGAAAAATCTGGGTTCACATCCAGCCCTCATCACCTCGGTGACTTTGGGCCAGAGCCTTCACCATTCTCAGTCTTGGTTTTTTGCTTCTAAAATGAAGACACAAAGGCCAACTTGCAGGACTGTCAGCACGACTTAATGAGACAACCGTAGTAAAATGCCCAGCACACTGTTGGCACTTAATCTCTGCTGGCTCCGGCCTCCTCCTCCCAGGCTCCCAGTTTTAATTTTTTTTTTTTTATCTTCACCTGAGGAATTTTGTTTTTTGCATTTATCCTGAGATAGAGAGGGAGGGAGAAAGAGAGAGAGAGAAACATCAACGTGAGAGACACATTGAGTGGTTGCCACCCACACGACCCAACCAGGGTCGGGGACAAACTGCAACAGAGGTACGTGCCCTTAGTGGGAACCGAACCCTGGCCTCTCTGGTCCGCAGGCCAACACTCTAACTGCTGAGCCAAACCGGCCAGGGCCAGGCTCCCAGTTTTAAGGTCAAAGTTGACTCTCCTCTTCCCAGGGTATTTCCAGAACCCCCCTCCCCTGAACAACTGCGCCTAGCCGTTCCCTCACCATGGCAACACTCCTTCCCACCATTTGAATCCACCTTAAAGTTCAGCTCCCTTATTAACCAATGTCACCACAATAAATTCAGTAAAAAAGAAAAAAATGTCCAGCCCCTATTAGGGTTGCAGAACCAGAGTCACCTACAGTCCCACTGGCTCCTAATTCTCACACTGGGCCTCACACCTCATTCCTCTGACATCTGCACACTTGTTCTGAGCTCCTTCGCTGCAAATAACCTGCTGATGAGGTGCAGGGGGTCGGGTAAAGGAATCCAGTCATGATCAAATCTGGCCTCTGCCAGCCCTCACTGCCCCTCTGATCCAAGCCCTCATCTCTCCATCCCTTTTTAAAAGAGATGGGAGGAAACCACACCTCCTCCAGGGAGCCCTCCCAGCTTACTTGACAAAGTTTAACCTGTCCCACTCTTTGGACACTTTCAGTTCAGTTCCACAAACATTCATTAAGCATTTACTGGGACTGCGTGGAAGATGGAGAGATCAAAACAGTACAGCCCAGCTTTTATGGGACTAGTGCTGAAAAGTGGACCTAAGTCAAAAGTAACTTAAGCAACCCCTGCCTTCTAGAACCACAGAGCCTGCCCTGCTCTGCACTGTAACATAGACACGCTCAACTCAACTGAGGCCAGCTCACTGAACGATCCAATTCAACAAACACTTGTTGAGCATGAAGTGGCTCAGAGAGGGGAAGTGACCTGCCCAAGGTCACACCACTAGTATGTGGCAGAGGCAGATTCCAATCATGTCAATCAGACTCCGAAAGCCGTGCTGCTCCCACTACCCCGGGAAAGAGCACAAATGTGTGCTCTACAGGCACGATACGCAGGAGGGGGCGGGGTTCTAAGGAGATAAAGGGGGGGGGGGTGCGGGGATCAGGAGAGAAACATTCAACAAGTGGTGGTAAAGGTGGGCTGGGGGCATGGCAAAGGCTCATGGAAATGGGAAAAGAGGGCACACCAAGGGGAGGGGACAATTTGAGCAAGAGCACGAAGGTGGTGCTCATAGGGGCCACAGTCCCATTGATCAGAAATGCAGGGAAGGGAGAAGAGAGTCCCAGGCTGGAAAGGGGGGCGGAAACAGGCCTTGAATGCCAAGAAATCATAATGAGTAGTCCAAATCATTTCCATTTTACACTAATAATTTGCCAGGCACAGGCTGGGAGCTAAGAAACTGGCTTCCAGAAGTGGAGGGGAGAGAGAGGGAAGGGAGGGCCTAGGGGTTAGTACCTTGGACAGCAGCTCCAGCAAGAGGGCAAGGGGCAAGGCATTGTGGGTAATGGGTAAGCCCTGGTGATTTCAGACTCTTTGTAGGTGTGGACGGGGGCCCAGAGAGGAAAAGGGACTTGCCCAACATCACAGCGCAGGTTAGTTACTTATCGGTCCTGGGCCCTCATCTCTGACCCTTCCTTCAGGGCTCCCCAGAGTGGGCTTTCTGGGTCACCACTCCTTCTTCAGGTGTTCCCTCAAGTGCATCCTTCACTCAGGCTCGCCCTGTGGCCTGGAGGCCCTGGGACAGAGTGGGTGGGATTCTGGGCTCTACAGAGTCTGGAAGATCAAGATTTAAATCCCAGCTCTGCCAGTGACTAGCTGTGTGAACTTGGGGAAGTCATGTCCCCTCTCTGTGCATCTGTAATTAGAGACAAGAGTCCCTAACTTGGGGATGTGGTAAAGATTACGTGAGATGATGCATTCAAGCACCTAACAGTACCTGGTGCACAGCAGGTGCTTGACAAATGGCAGTTGTTGGGATATTGTTAATGAACTCCATGAGAGAGAGATGCCGCCTTCCTCACCTCCATCTCTACCTCCGCTCACACGACCTCTGCTCTGGGCTTTGAACACCATCTTACACGGAACAGAGGCTCAAACTGACAGGGCATAGCAGCAGGACCTAAGCCCAGAGAGGGAGGTAACTGGCCCCGGGTTACACAGAGAGCATCAAAGGAGAATAAAAGGGCGGACCCTGGAGTGCAGCCTGGATACCCCCTGTGCCTCCCACCAAAGATGTGGCTTCCTGGGGGCAACAGTGCCAGAGAGGAGTCGTCCAGCAGCTGGGGGACCCTGCAGGGCCTGGGGGCCCTGGGAAGCCCTCAGCAGGGGCAGGAAGCAGGAGCCAGAGCCCTTGGGGGCTCTTCTGCTGGAGTCGAAGTGGCAGCAGGAGCAGCCGACCGGGGCCATGTGATGCGGTGCCAGGGAAGCTAGGAAGCACTCGCCTGCTGGAGCCCTGGGGGTGCTGGTAAATCCCGAGGTGAGGCTGCACCTCCACCCACCGCTCTCAGTGTTGGGGAAGCTGCAGGCACAGCCGCCTCCTTCCCTCCTCCTCCAAAGACAGGGCAGCCTCACACTTAGGAAATGGGCTGGAGGAGAGGATTCTGAGACTAAGTAGGGAGTGGAACTAGAGGGTTTGGGGGTCAGTGAAAAGGCTAAGGGCACCCCCCGCCCAGCTAGGAGCCACCATGCGGTGGGAAGAAACAGAGAAATGAAAAAGGAAGGAAACCCTTTCAGTGACGGCCTACAGTATGCCATGACCTGTTTGGTTTGGTTTCCACAACTTACAGTCTGAAATAGGCATTTCCATTCCCATTTCACAGATGAGAACACTGAGTCTCAGAGAGGTCAGCAGATGCTGAAGGTCACACAGGCAGTGGCAGAGCTGACATGTAACCTGACTCGCCTGACTCCAAGGCAGAGAGCTCTAGAAGGAACTGTTAGGGGAGAATTTGTGGGGACAGAGCTGGTAAGGTCTGCCCACCCACTGCCTGGAGAGGATGGTTGGAGGGCTGGTGGGGTCTGGTATGGCATTATAGGGGGCGGTAGTGGTTTGAGAGTGTCTCAGGGTCCAGCCAAGCAGCCCAGCCCCAGTACTTACCACACACTCAAGCGAGGAGTGAAGGACTTGTCCACCCTGAAACACAACAAGAGGAGCAACAGGTGAGGGGACAGCCCCTTCTTACCCAGCCCAGCACACCAGGCCAGCTCTGCTCCCACCCCCCAGAGGAGCCTGGAGGAGGTGCTCCATGAATTGTCACCATCCCCCATAGGCTGCGGGAGCCCTGTAAGATGAGGGACATGGGAAAGTGTGGGGTAAAGAAGGAAGGAACAGAAGCAGGATTGGAGGTGTGGGGGTAGGGAGCAGGGGTCTGGGACCAGGCTATAGGGTGGCAGAGGGGTGGTCCTGGAACAGGTGGAGTGGACAGTGACCACAGCATTGGGTCAGAGCAAGGATGTGAGGTGTGGCCGAGGACAGCTTAAAGTGTTTCCAGACAGGACTAAAGATGTGGGTATTTAGGAAGAACCCCCCACCCCCTACACACACACACACTCCCCAGCAGCCTGCCTTGATCTGGGAGCTAGAGCTCACTCATAGCCACCAGGGAATTCCAGGGGACAAAGCCCAGGAATCTGGGAGCAGGAGGTCCACAGGAGCTTCCTCTTCTGCCCCACCCCCAATACATACACACCCTGCCCCCAAAGCAGAGCCAGAGGAAGTCTTCCAGCCCCCAGAGTTCAGGGGTCACCTCCAGGCTTTATTTCCCCCAATCCCTCCAGGCCCCACTTCAGAGAGTGTATAGTCAGTGACCCCTCCCAGATTTCCCCCCTACCCACCTCTGAGGGCACCTTGGGGTTGGGAGAACTGAAGAGGCTCCACCCTTCTGCCTAGCTGGGGGCGAAAGGGCTCAGCAGCTGTTGGGACAACAAACAACTCTTGCCTCCTGCCCAGAGCCCAAAGGAGAATGGCAAAGGGGCGCCAAACCAGACTGCCAGCTAGGGGGCACCATCTGGGGAGACAGTGCCAGGGTCTCCCAGGATTCAGCTAATATAGACTCCGCAGACCAGGAAAGTCAGGGCAAAGAAGCCAGGACTTGCCCAAGGTCACACAACAGAACCCACCCGCACTCCCTGGACTGCCTCTCCATGTCAGCTGACCAGAAATCTCAGGGCTCACCCCAGGCTCCTCTCTTCACCTGATGGCTTAACAGGGCCCAGGACAGGGAGGGCAGCTCACCCAGCCCTGTCAGGGGTCCCCTGGAGTCTGGGTATCCAGAGAGAGTATGCATGTTGGACACGCTCCCCATAGCTCAAAGAGCTCCTAGTCTGCACCAGCAGCTTTACATGCGTGAGCCCCAACTGCTCCACACCCCAAAAGTGTGTACCCCTCTAACTACAGAAAGGCAGGGCCTGGTGAAGGTTACGCAACTACTTGTCCAGCCAGGGACAAGTCTGTCTACTCAGTCTTCCTTCCCATTTACCACATTTCTGCCTAAGGCAAGAATCCCCTCGCATACCTCTACACTCCTCGGAGGTGGGGGCACCCGAGGTCAAGGACAGTGACGCCAAGATGTACCAGCCATCGCTCTACCTCCACCCAGGTCTCCAGGCCCGGGAAGCCAATAGCCCTGGGAGGAGGGGGTCCCTGAGAGACAGGGGCATGATATGGGGGCAGCCCAAGTGCCCAGGGGTGGGCGAGGGCCTGGTAATGGCTTCTAGGTTCCCATCTTCCAAGGCCTCAGTGCAGGGGCCCAGGAGACTCAGAGACCAAGTGGGGCCCCTGCAGGTCCTCCTGGACCTGCCTCCGCCCACCCCACCATCCCTGCACTCAGGAGTGCACACACACAGGCCCGGCGTCCTGTTCACACACCAGTCACACGCACATGCACCGTCACGCACTTGGGACACAAACACGGAAATGTTCACGACCCCACACGTGCACATGGACACCCAAGCGCAACACGCAGGAACACGCAGAGACTAAGCAACACTGCACGCAACGCACGGACGTCAAACCGCTCGCCTCCCGCACAGACACATTCACAGCTCGGTTCACAGCTCGGCGCAGACCCGGCGCCCGCGCCCGGCACGGCAGCGACGCGCACACACGTGCTCACGCGCACGCGGGCGCCCCCGCCCTACGCACCTACCCTCCGTAGGCCCCAAAGGTGAAGCTGCGCTTCCGGCAGCTCATGGTGCCGCGGCCGCCAACCGCCTGCCCATCTGGCCCGAGCCGAGCCCGAGCCGACTTCCCGCGCCCGGGTCACCTTGGCAACTCGGGCCGCCCCGCCCCCCGCCACAAGCCCCGGGATTGTCCGCGCCCCGGCGGGCTGCGGTCCAGCTGCCTCGGGCAGCGGCGCAGAAAGGGCCGCTTGTTCGCGCCGCCCTCGGGCCGGGGTGGGGGGTTGGGAGTGGGGAGATGGGGGGGGCGGGGTTTCGCTGGACTTTCTCAGCTGGGACCTCGGCAGGGGAAGGGGGGAATGTGGGGGGTAGGACGAGACCGACCCTCCACCCCCAGACCAGGGGCACCGGCTGCAGACCCTCCTTTGTGGGCCGCACCCTCTTCCATCCCCCACCGAGCTGTGGGTGGATCTGTCCCTGTCGTCATGAGGGGAAGAGTTCATAGCAAACAGGTCTGTCTGGTCAAGAACTTGGAATCCAGGGTCAAATGGTCGCAATGTGAACAGATCCGTGCTCTCCCTGTAGGTACCTCAGATTTCTCATCTGTAAAATGGGACTGATCTCCCCCTCGCCCTTGTGGTAATGGAATGAGTTAATGCATGCAGAGTGCTCAGCCCAGGCTTGGCACACAGTAAGTGCCTAAATAAATACCAACTACCAGAGCCCCACGCTAGGTTAGAAGCTCTGCTCAGGCAAATGAATGAGTGAAAGCAGGAATGGACCAGTGTCACCCCAATAAATTTAATTAAAAGGGAAAAAATAAAATGTAAAATGTTAAAAAAAAAAAAAAAGAAGATGTAAAAATTAAAACAAAGAAAAGAAGAAGGAACGATCTCCAATAGTCCTTCTATTGCTTACTCTCAACCTGGTCTGCCTGGGTGAGGAGGGCAGGAATGGAAATGCCCCACTCTCTTCTTGAAAATTCATCCGGCCTGGGTTCCCTCATGCAGCAACCCTGGGCTCTGAGTCCTATCGCGGGTCCCACGTTCACTAAACACACACCCTGAGCCCCTCTTCTGCACCCAGCTCACCAGTGCTCACAGTTCAGTCCACCCCACAGGAAGCTGCCTCTCCTGCCCCAAGTAAAAATGTGTCAGGGGCCCTGGCTGGTTTGGCTCAGTGGTTACAGTGTCCGCCTGTAGTCCAGAGAGACCTGGGTTCGGTTCCCGCTAAGGGCATGTACCTCGGTTGCAGTTTGTCCCTGGCCCTGGTTGGGTCGTGTGGGTGGCAACCACTCGATGTGTCTCTTTCACATCGATGTTTCTCTCTCTCTCCCTCCCTCCCACTCTATCTGAACGAAAACATGTCAAGTGAGGATAAAAAAAAAAAATGTGTCAGGGGACACTGGCCCAGCCCCCAGGACTTACCTACCCCTCCCAGAATGCCCACTCTGCCCCCCAAAGAGGGAGAGATTATTTCCCACCACCCCTGCACCCAGGGAAGCCATCAGAGCCTTGAGGTTTTCTGTGGAGTTTTCTGTTTAAAAGGACAGCAGGGAGCAGATGCAGTGGGGGGACAAGGGAGGAAGGATGACCAAGGGCACAACAGGATGACAGGGATTCTTCAGAAGCCTTTCCAGAACTATTCCGCCTGAGCCCTGGCCCAGGACTCAATTAGCACCATCTTGCCCTGGGAAATGACTGGTCCGGGTACAAGGCTCCACAGTTTGCCTCACCCAGGCAGGGGGAGGTGGTGTAGTAGTCTCCCCATTTCAGATGAAGACCCTGGATCACAGCCATCATTTCTCTCTTGGGGGCATCCACCCCCAACCTCTTCTCTTCCACCACACCCTGGTGGGCAGAGGAACCGTCAGGAGCCCTTGCAGAGTTCAGACTCAGCAGGCAGGCGTGATTTCCTCGCCCTTAGAACTAGCCCCTGGGTTTGGTTCTCAGGTGAGGGTCTGGCTCCCTCTTGGCAGGGTGCTCTGGAACCAGGGTAGATTCATGGGTGGAGGGACCAATCCAGGCGGTGAGGGAAGCCCACTCCTCACACGGCAGTCCAATGCGTCTCTGAGGCGCACTGAGGTTGGCCTGAAAAGGGAGGAAGTCCTTTCTTCCTACAAGGTGGCAGCAGGGAAGGGGGGACAGAGAGCTGGAAGGAGGGGAGGACCAGAAGCTGGGCCCGGGCTATGGGAGGAGGGTGCACAGCACCAGGGCTAGGACCCAGGACTCCAGCCACAACCAGGCTGTTGCATCCCCTAGGACATGGCCCTCGGTCTCGCCAGTCTGTCTTTTCAGTCGGAATGATTCCTAAGTGGGCTCTGCATGTCCACTTGGCAGGGTGGCCAAGAGGCCTCCAATGTGCCAAGTTTCCCAGCCTGGCCTGGTCCCTGGGAGGTCCTGCTGGTGTTGGGACAGTGGGCCCTTGAGAAGGGCCGTGGGGGCCACAAGGTTCCCACCGAAGACAAAGAGCCCAGTGTGGGCTCCCGCCTTCTGGGTTCTGACCAGCTGCAGCTGCCTCACTGGCAAGAGATGGGGGTGGGGTGGGGGTGGAGGTCACGTTCTCTTAGTAAAAATGCACAGGACACTCCCTGGCCAGCTCCTAGTGCCTCAGGCAACAGCATGATTGAAATGCACCTTCTTAACCTGCAAGGCCACTTCTAAGAATTTAGCCTCTTCATCAGGGCATGTGAGCCTGAAGGTGAATGGCCAGGAACAAGAGACAGAGGCACGAGCTTATGTCCTCATCCTTGTGAAAATCCCATCTTCGCCCCACCCCACCCCACCCCCATTCATCTTTTTTTTTAAATTTTTTTTTCTTTATTGATCTTAGAGAGAGAGGAAGGGAGAGGGGGAGAGCGAGAGAGAGAGAGAGAGAGAGAGAGAGAGAGATGAGAGAACATTGATTGGCTGCCTCCTACATGCCCCCGACTGGGGATCGGGCCCACAACCTGGGCATGTGTCCTGACCGGGAATCGAACTGGCGACCTCTTGGTGCATGGGTCGATGCTCAACC